ACCTAAATGTGCCTACCTGCAAAGAAAACTTTTATATGAAGATCAACAGGAATTGGAATTAGAGTATGGCACAAGTGGAGGGGGGTTGTGCATGTTCTTGTGTTCTGGGACTTCTTAAAAGAGAAATAGCTATCTGACATTCTTTCTAGGTTGAGAAGAATGCATTTCCAACTAAAAATAAGCCAGGTTTTGGTATGGGTTTTTTTGTACCTCCAGGTAGCCGAATGTGTTTGTTCTTCTCAGTGTTAGAGAGCATCTCATTTTCAAAGGAGAGGTTCTGCCTCATTTCACAATGGAAGCAGCATCTTCTGTATTTTAATGGCTTTGAAGTTAATTAAAAACTACTCTGAGACATCTTTAAATATGCAGTAATACGTGAATACGTTCACCTGGTGACATCTTTAATAGTGTAAGGTAGTGTTTTTACTATTAAAGATCCTTATTTCTTGCTACACAATCTTCTGGGAACATACTGCAAATTTACTCACACCTTACGTTAACTTGTTTCATTACTTATTTCATGGTCAGATTTTCATGGGATAATATGCATCTTTCCCATTATGCAGATCCTGGGTTTGTTTTATAAACAGACATTTGAGTACAGAATATTGTACTCAGCCACAGGAGACTAAAATGGGAATCTACACCGACATAAGATTCATCACTGGTATATATCAGTATCACTGCCAACAATTTACAAGAAATGCTGAGTTTGCTCTTCCGTTGTTCTGTGTGTGCTTTGTAAATAAGGAAAATCACTGTGTGCCTATGAATTTTCTTTTATCTCGGCATTTCCTCCTCTTTTGCAGTTATTGGCTCCTCAGGTGTTACAGCACCTGGTCAGAAAGTTAAGGGACATGAAATAAATACTTCAGCTATTATATGCTCAAAAAGACAGACCCCACAGTACCATGGTGCCCCCTAAAAGTAGGTAAGAGTGTAGATGTCACATTTAATCCAAAGGAATCAAGCTTCCTGCTCTCACTGCTGCCTTCCATGGACATTGCTTTGAATTTTTCAGGATCCAAATACTCATCAGCCTAAAATGAGATTTGTGATGGGATCACAGCTCACAATGGCATGGCAGCACCATAATGCTCAGTGTTCATTTACAAGAATTGTGCTGTGTTTTTAATCTACAGTTTTAGTCTGTAATGTTCAGAATAACAGTTTAAGTGTATTTACTGTAGTTTCAAAGTTACTGCCTCCTGTGCTTTCTGCCATACAGAAAAGGGTTGTTGTTGTATTACTTTTTCTGCTATAGAAAATACTCAGAATGTTTTTGAGTGCCAGTGTGCATAAAATTACACTTGCTTTTCATCTGTGAAGCCCAGGCTCATGCTCAGTTTGTCACTAGTGCAACCAGTTAGGTACTGCCCATCAGGTACCTTTCAACACCCTCAGCAATGTGCCTGAAGAGGAGCTTCTACTGGTCTGGTAGGGAGTTATTGCAGATGCAGATTGGAACGCTTTAATGAACATACAGGCACAGGCATTTGGAAAGCCTGTGCTCTCTGTGGCTTCCAAGCAACGCCACATTGGGTTTCATTTATATTTACAATTGGCTATAACCTGGAAAAGGCTGAATTCTTTCTGTGGAGTGTCTGGAGCAGGAGGTGTCCTGTTATTAGCTTTATTGGTATAAAGGCTGTATGTGTTATGAAAATTGAATAAGACATTTTATGAAACAGTTGCTAACAAGCACCATGATCAGAGAAATATGTATGGAGTTAAATTGCTTGATAGCTATTTACTTATTTTACTTGCAGCTCACAATATCTGTTCACCAGGATCATTCCATAATGTTTGGCCTTAGAGAATCAAGCTGGTACAAACAGCCTGCAACTTGTTTGCATCTCAGGGGATGAGACAGAGGGAGGTGAGGTGGAAGAGTTAACGGGAGCACCACCCACTGCACTGAGCACAGGAGCTTAGTGGAGGGACACACACATGGGTGTGCAGTCTTCTGCTCATCCTTCTAGCAATTCTGCTCAGGCTGGAGGTACACAAGCTTAGCTGATCAAGGGTTTGACATCCAGTGTTCAGGAGTGTGTGTCATTCCTTTAGTAAACCATCTCCCACTGAATTTACTTGCTCACACAGCAGATGTGATGTTGTTAACTGTAAAATTTGACCTTCAAGGACAAATACATCCTTAGAATGATTCTTCTGAATTTAGGGAAGATGACCAAGTGTACTTAAGGTATACTTAAACAAAATGTAAAAAAACACCAAACCCTGCTAAATTCTAGCGTGTCCTTACCCCAGTAAAAAGATTTCTGACGGTATTATAGTTTCTCAATGCTTTTCTAGCTCCTAAATTAGAATTAAGGTAAGTTTACGATTTCCTTTTATTTTTGTGAGTAATTTCTTATTCAAAGAAAGGCACCAAGAATCCTGAATCTGAGCAGTAAAAATTCAATTCCCCAATACTTTAATGGCCTTGTATTACAATTAACTGTTGACCTTGAGTCTCTAAAGGATTTAGAGTAATATAATTAGTATGTAGTTACACCAAGCCCTTAAAATATGCTTGCAACCGATTTCCTGCATGTGTAGCACGCCAGTGGGTCATTCCTTTGTGCATGTCATTGACCCTTATCTATAATAGATTCCTGTAGAGAAATCTTGAAGTGTTCCATAGTACATTGTTACTGCTCAGGAAATTCTTAATTTTCATACTGATAAAGATATTAACTTAGAAAAATAAGTCAAATCCTTTTGTCTGAATGACAATTGAAAATCTATGTTGTGACTACAGCTGAGTGAAGCTCAATTACTTTAATAAATGTATTCCCAATTTCATCTCTATTACATTTGCATTTTAATGAATGATTCTCACCTACTTGTCAAATAGGCAGCCCTGCTAAATTCGTTAAGTTATTGTATAAACTGGGTATTGTGATGCTAGAATTTAAATGGAGAAATAGTTGATGTCCTATTCCAGCATTACACTGTAAATCTGAACTGTAAAAAAGCATGCTGGTCACCTCTGTATTTGGCTTTATTTTTACTCTTCTCCTGACAAGAGTCCATGAAGCTTTAGGATTATTTGTATATATCCTAGAAATAATTCTATGGAATTTTGAGAGGATTATTTTTTGTTTAAATCAGGTGATTGTCACAGCTTTTTTTCCTTTATGCATTTCTATTAATTCTATTTTATTTCTTTTTCCATACTTGGAGACTGTAGAGCTACTTTTTGTCATACCTGGGACTTGAAGAAAATCGCAGACTAAATGTTTATTGACAAATATGCATAATGTTTCCTATTCCTATGGGTATATGAGAGTGATCATTGATTTTGGTATACACATATTAGTCTTCTCTATTAGATAAAGCTTTAAAAATATACTGCTTGCACTTGCCATTTATGCATTTTTTCTCCATTAATAGTGGTTATGGTTGTTAGTGTAAAAGAACTTTCTAGTTTATAATTATCTTTCTCTACCACTTGTCTTTGGTACATGTACTAACCTCACAGTTCACTATTTGTGGCATTATAATACCCAGCTAACGCAGGGGTTCTGATCTTTAAGGAGGATTACTTACATCAGAGTGTGCAGAAATGTAGGAAAAGCACTGTGAAGGGAAAAAAATGCTTGTACGTACAAATATATATGTGAAATATGTGTGGGGGTGGTTGAGGCTCTAGAACAGGTTGCCTAGAGAAGTGGTGAATACTCCATCCCTGGCAGTGTTCAAAACCAGGTTGGACAGAGACTTGGGTGACATGGTCTAGTGTGAGGTGTCCCTGCCCATGGCAGGGGATTGGTAATGGATGATCTTAAGGTCCTTTCCAACCCAAACCATTCTGTGATTCTATATCTTGATCAGTGGCAGAAGTCTGTTATGCAAAATACTGGGTTCTTATGAAGAACACTAAGCCAGTCTGACATGACTCTGAAATCCTCCAAAGCATGAAATGCTCCAAAGCTCTGAAATGCTCCAAAGTATGCAGCATTTCCTATCAGGGACATCTTATTTTCTTATTGGGTTGGTTTGTTTTCTTTTCCCAAAGTTAGTAGAGAAATCTCTAGCAGACAGGTTATCTACCTGAACTGGAAATGTGTTCAGCCTTGTATTTATAGTTGCTGGACTAAAAAAATAGTATCGGTAAAGCCAAAAACCTAAACTTATCTCACTGTGCAAGTGAGTTTTCATCAAGGGAAGCGAGGAGGGAGTAAACTGCTCCCCTTGAGGACTAGTGAATTCTGTGCCTGAAATCTACACCCTATATGACCTTTAGGTGCTTTAATACATGTCTGGTAAGAAAAAGGAGTTATTACTTGCCAGTAAAACAAATGAGGCTCAGCTTTGAAGCCTAGACTGTATTTGAAAGAATCAATATAGCCTGATGCAAAAGTCAGCAGCACCTTAAAGGGATGTGTCCTGTGCCTGGTAGGATGCTCATCTGACTTGGTTCAGTTTGCTATCATTTTAATCAAAGGCAGAAGAGTAATTGTGTACCATGTCCCTCTCACTGCCCTAGCTATGGTTTCATTGTTTTTCTATCTTGCAGTAATACCCTGTTGTCTTCAGCTCTCTCACAGGCTTCACTGGCACCTTCCCTCTTGCTAACAATGCAGCCTTCTGACAGCAGGTGGAATTTAGCAGCTAACAGGTAGCTTCAGGGCAGTGCTTGTCAGGCTGTGACAACTTGAGCTAAGACAGTGAGGGGCCCAGTGATCAATTGGCTGATATAAATTAGAATCAGGCAGGGAGGCTTCAAATCAAGTACTGTACAAAGTGATGCTGAGTTCAAGACATCCAGTTAACCTGTGCAGTGCTGGAAGAGATCATGGAAAGATCTGTCATTTCATACTGGGGAATTGTCCTTTGTTATCATACTGCAGAAGGAAATACTAATGTAGAACTCCTGAATATAGAAGAATGTGAAATCTCTGTTAAGATTTAACTTGGTGGGCCACAGAGAAATAAATCAATTTGATAGTGTGTGTGTCTTGAGTACACTGACTACTTGTGGTGAATTTTGTCAGGCGTCATCTCAGTTCTGTGAAGCGAGGCAGAGGCTACTTTGGTATCCTTCAACAAGAATCACTGGAGAGGAAGAATGCACTTGAAGCATCCCAACAGGCTCAGACCCTGGTGTGGAGAACTGACTTCGAGCCACCCATGTACTCCTTTGATGCAGAGAGCTCACGAAAAGAAAGAGCCATGTAAGTCAACTTGGAGCAGGGAGCTTCTGGTGGTCTGAGGGCAGTGTTTTTAAAAGGTGGCAGTTTCCAGCTTCTGTTGTTACTTGGTATTGAGGCAGAATATTATTACTTGTGTGAACTAGAAAATAAAAATGCTTAAAACCTGAGTAAGTGAGCTGCTGGAGACATGGCAAGCACGGCAACAAAAAATATGCTTGAGGTGCTGTTTAGAAGGGGAAAGTTTGGAAGGTAGAAGGTTGGTGAACTTGGGAGAAGTTTCATAGGCAACTCAAACTGATGCTCTGAGGAGAAAAGGAGGCCTGGTGAGTTTGTACCATATTGTTGTTCCCACTGTGGGACCACATCATTAAGAATAGAAAAGAATTGCATTCAGCAGAATAAGTGGCTAAGGTTGCAGAGCTGGGTTTCTTTGCTAGTTCAGACCTATTGCTTACTATCGTCATGGTTTTTTCCTTTTGATCACTAGATGGTCTCCCATCCTTTGGTTCACACTGATCTTTTCAGTGCACCTCTAATGCCTGTTGAACTCTGTAGTTATCTTCCATTTGTCACCCTCACTAAGTGGTGATTAAATAATTGCTCTGCAGGACAGAGTAGCTCTTCCAGAGGTTACACACCTTTTGAGACTCATTGTGCCAAAAGCTCATTCATCCCCAACAGTCTTTTCCAATCAATCTGCTATGGCTTTTGTCACTCTCAGGTGCCAACTTCCTCTCTTTCATCTTTTTTTCCATGAACTGACTCTTAACTTGGAAAATTCAGTCTTCAGAGCCATCTGAGATGCAATTCTCCTTTCTGTGCAGTCCCAACGAACAGCAGAATGCCAGGACAGCAAGACCATCGTATACCCATTGAAGCATGCAGCATTTCTTATCAGGGCCATTATAATAATCAGTAACCATTATAAAAAATAAGAAATAAAATCTTCCCTGTTTTATGAAACCCAGACCAACAGCAAACAAGCAGCAAAGACAGACTGAGAGGTTCTGAGCAGAAGTGTGTTTACTGGAGTGACGTTTACTGTCCAGCGTTCTGAAGGGTCACTAACTGAATAGCTAGAAAAGGTGGGGAAGAAACAGAGTATTACTGAGAGATAGTGTTATGGAAGAAGAAAAGGTTTGGAGTATTGGTCAAAGTAGTTTGGACTCTTAGCCTGGAATGTCTGCATCATCTGAAACTTTCTCCTCACTTAAGTTGCCTACAGTTGTGTTATTTAAATGGCATTATTAGTGCTTTGATCCTGGGGTTGTGAAGCCATGTGAACTTTATAGGGAAACAAAATTATTTAATTAGAGAAAAATAAAAGTACATAAGAACCTACCTGAAAGCTTTTTGTAAATTCCCTGTTCATTATTCTTTTTAATACATAACTGTTCCATCTACCCATAACTCAGCCAATCCACATTTATTGCAGGCAAACACTTTATTACACGTATGAAAAATATCATTGCCTTTATTACTGTGATCATTCAGATTATTGAAATCATTGATTTTTTTTATGTCAGGAAAGATTTCTTTCTTCAGCAAGGCTGACCTTAAAAAGATTCAATATTCCTCTTTTTCCTTTATGAAGGTATACATATATAGGTGAAGCTTAGATACAAAATCCAGATCCCTGTGAGTCTGGAGAGACTTACTTCACTCCTGGCTTCCACAGTACTGACTTCAAAATTAGGAACTTCATGGACTAAGAAGAGCTCTGAAGCATTGTTAAACTGCTGGGGTGCAAAGTGTCTTTCTAACAGATGAAGTCTAGCTTTGGTCTTTCACAGATACTGAAACTGTTGGCATGGTTTTATATGCCCAGATTCTAGTGACTCCAGCTTTTCCAACTTCCCTTCCTCTTTCTCTTGTAAGACAACAGCAAATATTAAGCCTCTAGCGTGACTTTTTTTGCTGCTGTTACATAAGCTGTAGCATTTAATTGTGTTATCAATTATTTTAAATGTATCAACACTCTAAACTTGGTACCAGCTTCTTATCATAACAGTAGAAAAGTAGGAGTAAAGTTTAGTTATCCCTTTTCAATAGGAATAATGGACTCTGCCAAATGCTTCAGTGGGTGTACAATGGTCTTGCTGTCCTGGCACTCCATTGTTCATTAGGACTGCACAGAAAGGGAAATAGGAAGTGTAATTTGGGGAAGCACAAGGCAGACTTGCTTTGAACAACAAAGTCTGTGGCATTCATGTGCCGTTTGTCTCCAATAAGTAGAGATTGGCTGTTACAGTTCAGATGAGATTACCTGAATGAAGACCACCACTCCTTGAGGTTTGTGTAAGAAATCTCTTTTAGGACAGCAGGAATACCTGCCAGTTTATATCATTGTCAAATAGCTCGTTTGTTAGACTAAAGAAGACTTAAGTTTATTAATTTCTTAATTTGATGAAGAAAATAGACCTGTTGCTCTCTAAATACAGTGCTGAGATGCCGTACTGGTGGTGTATGTATGATTTACAGCCAGTGCTTTGCTTTAGAAAGTTTATATCAATGAAATGCTTGGGGCATGCACACTTCAAACCTTATTCCAACAATTTGCTAGGTCATAATCGGCAATAGTAAGCTGACACCCCCAAACTGCTTCAGACCTAGAAAGGAAATGTTAATCCAGGATCATTCATCCATCTAGGAACTCTGTCAAAGAAATCTGTATAAAGCTGTAAGACTCACCCACCATTCAGATCTCGGTTATCATCTCAGCTAGTTTATGGACAGTATCATTTGAGTGTTTTACTAATTTATGATCCAGCATACAATAGTTCATGTTGTATTTCCTGTGTGGACCTCCTGTCTTCCATATCACAGTATCACAGTATGGTAGAGATTGGAAGGGACCTCAAAAGATCATCTAGTCCAATCTCCCTGCCGGAGCAGGAACACCTAGAAAATGTTACACAGGAATGTGTCCAGGCGAGTTTTGAATGTCTCCAGGGAAGGAGACTCCACAACCTCCCTGGGCAGCCTGTTCCAGTGTTCTGTCACCCTCACTGAGAAGTTTCTTCTCAAGTTTAAGTGGAACCTCTTGTGTTCCAGTTTGTACCCATTACCCCTTGTCCTATCATTGTTTTCCACTGAGTAGAGCCTGGCTCTATCCTCGTGACACTCCCCCTTTATATATTTATATACACTTATAAGGTCACCCCTCAATCTCCTCTTCTCTAAACTATAGAGACCCAGCTCCCTCAGTCTTTCCTCATAACGGAGATATTCCACTCCCTTAATCATCTTAGTTGCCTTATACTATCAATATATGAAGGCTACAATACCTACTGTGCTTATCAAGCTTGAATCTCCATTATCTAACACCAGATGCAGGCAGGTATTTACATCTATGTGGAAAAAAGCTGTAAACCTTCTTTTCTTGCTTGGTAGCATCTACAAACACTTTACACAGGTGTAAATGGCCAAACAGGCTTATGGCAGTGAAGAAACAATGCTCACAGCCTGTGAAGAGCTCAGTTTTCTGTTACTTTGGTTTGGCCAGCACTCGAGACACCTTTCAGCTTAATCTTTACTGTTTTCTGTGCACGCAGTATGTTAACCCAGGAAAAACTGAAGAGAATTTAAGGCACCTCCTGAAACGCTGGCCTCATGTATATAACCTTACTGACTCCATTTTCATGATAACAAGAGAAAACAAGTGTAATGGAATATAAGCACTATCTCAGCATCTTTTCTCAGACAAGTCAGTCATGTTATTTTGTCTGCTCCCAAATTTGTTTTCACATAAATGGTTAACTGATAATGAGTGGTAGTATAAATATATAAATGCAAATAATAAAATGTTTATAATTTAAAGTAATGTAAACTTGTTAGAAATAAGTAATAATTATATATCCTGGTAAACATAAAATTTGTAATATTAATAAATGCAGTAATTAACCATTTTGGGTTTTTAAATGTGAGGAAGAGGAGTGTGGTGATGGGACCACAATAAACAGTTTTATTGGTTGTGTCTTCATTTCACATACTCCTTTTTTAAGTTCAGTCTTTGTCCTTTCCCACAGTTGCTCTCAAGCAGAAGGCAACCACCTGGGGATGTCAGAGAAGAAAAAAATGACCTTACAATCCTTCATTCCTGCTCAAACCAATCTCTTGATTCCAAGCTCCCCTGAATCCAAAAGGTATATCTGAAGCAGATTTATGTCCTGCCCTCCTTGATGTAGGATATAAGCAAAATTCACAGCAATACAAACCCATAACACACATACCTACAGCTGCTGTTCAGCTGGTGACTGTGTATCCTGAGAATTTCAGTTCCTGGTAAAGTAGTCTGTCTTTACTAATAGCAACTGTTAAATTCTAACATTAAACAAGTGAATCCTAATGAGTTACTGAAAGTCTTGTATATGCACCTGTACAGAAACATGCATCATTTGCCTTGCTGATCTTGGCTCAGCAAGTTGTAAGTTGAGTAAGACTTGCTGATGTGATATAGCTTTCAAGTCTAGGCTCATTTTAAGGAAAAGCTGTCAAAATTCATATTTAATTTGCCTAGTTTAAAAAAAAAAAGGTCTATGGAAGAGAATGGGACAAGATGGTAATTGTACTGTGTACCCTTCTGTATGTTTTAGATTAGTCACTAATACACACTGTCTGTTCTGTTCTAAGTTCATTAATCCAATTACTTACCAAAGTATCTTCATGTATTTACATTTGCATATGGAATAAGCTAAAATGCCAAAGATAATCTTGGTTCAGAAGAAGATGGTTCCAATGTTATAAACTCTCACACTGCTTTTTCTTAAGTGCAAAACTTAGCACCTACTGTAAAATCCAAACCCCATAAAAATCCATACCTGGAAAGGGTAAATGCCAGAATCCTCACAGGTATGAAATTACTGAGCACACCTCCGATATAAGACCATCAAAAATTTCACATCCAAAAATATGCTTTCGGTATCTAGAGTTCTTTGTCAACATTGCAAAAGTTTGAAAGGTGTGTGGAATTCATTGGGACAATTAAAACAGGTGATCTGCTGCAGAAAGGTGCAGATGTATCTATTTCAGCCAACACACTGCTAGTTTGACTGTTTTCCTGTTGCTATACAATGACACATTTGTTTTTCCTCTTTGCAGTGACCATCTCTTCCGTCAACTGTGTGCCATACACTGGCTTTTGGAAGCTGTGACTCTTGAATCCAACAGTTCGATGCATCCCATATCGACCTGTTGGAATCCAAAGTATGTGCACAATGCATGAGGGTAGATGGAATGAGGAGTTTAGGATCTTTCGCACTTAATATGTTGTTGTTTCTCTCCAGTAATAACTGTTTGAATGAAATGTTAAAAATTCTGTGCCATGTAACATTAACAAATCTTGCATTGACTTTGCCCCCCTGCAGTCAGCAGGGAGTAAAATCAGTAACATCAGCAGCACAGCATGGTCCTCTGTTATTGCAAGCTGCACAACTAGGAGAAAATACTGAGCTATCCCAGCCAAATATAGTTGTGGGGTTGGTTTTCCTTTTTCTCTTCTGGTTAATAACTATGCAAATTAAATACATACAGTAATAGATATATGCCTGTTCCATCAGCCTTAACCCAGTAAAAACAGGAATTCCATGTACATTATAATTACAGAACAAAGGTAGCTATTAAGGGGTATTTAGTAGCTGCTTTTATTCTGTCAATTATGTAGGGTAGTGATGGCCACTTGTAAAAGATGCATTGCTTCTGAAATTTCATACTGTTAAAGTAAATATTAATTTAAGTTCCCAACATTTCTAGTCATGTTGACATAACATGTATTTAAATCTTTCATGAGCATTTGGTGAAACAGTGAGCAGTTTATATTCTAGTTGCAGGGCAGAGCTCTCCAAAGCTGTTCTGTGTTCTCTGTATATTCAGTCAAGACAAACTGTGCTTATGTATAACAGAATTGGAAGAGTAGCATTATATAGAATTAGCCTGATAAATTGGAGGGGAGAAACAGTCCAGTATATATTTTGGATGTGGTTTTGACCCCTTTACATATGAGGACCAACCAATAGACTGGGATAAAAAAACCCAGTTTGTCAGCAAGTCTCACAGATGCAGGCTGAGAACAGAGTATAAATGCATAAAGCTCTGGATTCCAGGTTCTAAAGAGTGTAATCTCATGTTGTATACTTTCTCTGCTGGACAAAATTGTGGAGTACTTGCACAGAGGAAGTTGAGGGCATCATCTGGGCCAGTATCTGCATATGAGAGTTTGTAGAACACCTTTCTTGAGGTGGTTCTTAACTGTGACTATTGATTTACTCATGGCTTATACACCTTGCATTTTCTTTTCATGTCTTATAAGCAAACATGTACATCATAGCAGCAGTAAGCCACCATTTACTCTGCATTTGTTGCATTTCTTTAAAGAACCTATAATAAAAGCAAGACTTTCAAAATGGAAAACTAATAAAATTGTTTTCACCTAGGGATTGTGGTGGTTATAAAAAAAGAGTAAAAGAAGCGGAAGAGTTAAAGTTAGCAACATGCATGTGGGAATGCTTTATTACAAAGAAAAAGGTAACTTCATTGTTAATGTCTTCCATGGGACCTAATCCAACATTTCAGGCATTTGTTTTGTTGCTTAATTAAACTCCATGATACCATGTTTATGCTCTGGGTCTTGTGACTGCAGAGGATTTCTCTCACTTGGTTTTAAAGAATAACTATTTAACACTAGGTAATAGGAAAAACAATACCTAGATTGAAACTGTGACTTGTTCTTAGTGATAAGTATTGATGTGGGAAGACTTAAATATTCAGCTAAAACATAACTAGCCTCTTATTTGCCCTTTTCTTAATGACCCAGAGCCATGTAACAGTACTTGTTCACACAAATGCATCTTTTTCAGTCAAATGGGGATTTCAGACTTGTATCCTGGAAGCTTTATTCTCTTATGTTCTAGTCATGACTTGTTTGGTTGCCTTTTTACACAGAATTTAAAGCTAAATTTGGAAACAAATGCCAAATGTTAAGGCCTTTAAAGAAAGCAGAATTCACTTGCCACTTTCAAAACAAAGCCAAGGAAAGACGAAACCAAGAAATTCAGATAAAAGCCTTTTAAAAGAAAAATGAAGTTACTACCTGAAAGGAATTAAATGCTATAAAACTAGCTGTAACACTTGGTAACTGTTTCACTGTCTTTCTGAAACCTGAGAAATGCTTTTCTCTTTGAAACTGCTGAAGTGACTGCTGGAAAATGAAGGGGGAATGAATGACACTTAGGAGTATAACCAAGAGAAGTCGATAAAGAACTGGTGGGTTTCTCGCTCTGGAGCACATCTTCCATTTTGATCTGCAGCAGTTTGCCCAAGCTTTTAGTTCCTTTGCCACCTATAAGCTAAATAAAACAAGTTTTGTCAAGTACCCTTAGAACCCCAGGTAAGGCACTTAGAAATATGAGCTATTGTTGCATGCAATTTGTTCTTGTTATTTGTCAACACCTGCAGCTTGTACCCCCATGACATAATTCAAATGATTCAATAGAAGATTACATTTTCAACTGGGGAATAAGCAACAAAAGTTGTATAACACAAAGACTTTAATAATGAGGAAATCAAGGGAAGAGACTGTGTTTTTATGCTGTGGTATGGAATAATATTCTCCCTGCTCACAGAGTCCTTGGCCAAACCAAAACATCGCTTGTTATCAGCTCTGTTCCCGAGCTGAAAGTCAAAACACTGCACTGCACCAGCTACCAAGAAGGAGAAAAATGACTGCTACTGCTGAACCCAGGACAGCAACAAAAGTTGTGAGACTTTTTGAGGATCAAGACTGTGTTTTTATGCAAATATTCTCCCTGCTGTTACAAAACAGAGAAAGAAAGTCAGCAAGCCACCTAAGGGACAGAGTTGTTTCTAAATATGAGGCTTTCTGATTTTTCCAAACTGTTGGGTTCAAATAAACATGAGCAGAAGAAACCAAAGCACGTGTCAGTCTTCATGTGTCTTTCAGCATTTCCATTGTTGAGACTATTTTTCTTTTCCTCCCTGAATTAATGACAATTTCTTTTGTGCCATTCATGCTAGTATTACTTGAAGACTGCTTTTCATATCTGATATGAAACTTCTAATGGAAATACTGGGTTCCTTCAGGAGCACTTGCTTTATAATACATATTGTTCTGATTATCAAGCCTGCAGAATTCAGTCTGCTTTCAGACTTCAGTTTTACATTCCCGACACAGGAAATTCATTTGCCAGATTGTTGGGAGGAGACCTGAACATTTATCAAACCACTTTGACCTGTTCTTCCCTGTACAGGAGAAGGTTGTTGTATTACCAACCCTCTCTGCAGCTGCAGTGTTCCTCATTTACAAATTACCTTAATCTGTTGTCATTTATGCCGTAGCAGAGGAGTATTGAAGAAAGATAACAAAATGAAGGAGGTTTTACCCAAGAAATCACTATCTTGTTTGAAGTCACTGGAGAAAAATCTGTGAGGTTACAGGAAAACCAGAAGGATCTAATATTGGAATTTGTTACAGAAATATGATTGTTTGTTGTCAAAGCACTATAGGAAGCCCCTCCTTTCTATTGATTTTTTTTTTTCTTTTCATCTACAGAAATACACCTGGAAAACAGGATACAATTTACTTAGCAGGACTATAAACAAGAACGTTACTCCAGGTATCTCTCAGTTTAGCAGTCAGTCATCTCTCCGTGGTCAAACCCTTCAAGGCAGTGAACCTTCCGCTCTACATTGCTCTGAAGACAACATCAAGATTAATGATGTGAGTGAGTCAGCACCAGCTAAAGAGCAACAACCTCTTTTCCCCTGTAAGTTACTTTTTCTTAACTGCCAGTATCAATGGAATTGCTTTCAGTGTTACTAGGGAAAACCTATGTCAAATACTCTGCTACATGTCCCGATGTATTTCTGTTCAGGCATGTGGAACTTTGTATGAGTCTCTTTGTGCCCTTCCCATTAGCAAATTGGTTTAAAGACAATGTAATCCCATATGAGTAGTAAGAGTTTTAATTACTATTCAGTTACAGCAGCTGTATAATCAAACTGTCATCCACATCTGTAAGACCCAACAGGCAGGGGAACCAGTGAAGCTGTTCTCTGCTATAACCAATTGATCCACTGAATATGTATCTGTCTAACTTAATGGTTTCTTGCTCTGTATTCCTCCTACTCATCCATCAGTGATTACCTGAGCTTGATTGACCTGACAACATTTTATCTGCTAGCTCTGCAATACATTTTAATACGAAGCTGGGTAATCTTCAGTCTTTTCCCTTCCTTCTAAATAAAGCTGGTCTAGAAAAACATGTAAGCATTTAATACTGCATATTACCTTTTAACTGATAGTTATACTATTATTATTATTAGGCTGGCATCATGCTCTGTTAAATCAGGAAAGAGCTCTTGGAGTCATTCGGGATAGTTTTGTGAAGGTTCAGCAGCTACTAGAAAGGCAAGAAGAACCCTAAGAATGAAGTGGAGGACAAAGCAGAAAATTTGTTGTGCAAAAATACAAATGTCTCTGTATGTGCTGCTTCAGTTTTGGTCCTTCCAATGCAGATAGGTTGGTATGAGGAGTGGTAAAGTTTGACAGGTAAAAAAATGATGAGGTATGATATACAGAATAGCTTCCATAGAAGAACCAGTTAAATAGACTAGAGCTCTTTGGTGCAGAAAAGAAGCAACTGAATACAACGTTATGACAGATCTCTAACATCCTGAAGTGCATGGAAGCAGTGATTAGAGAGTGGCTACTCCCAGGTTCCCTTGATTTATGGCATACCAGGTTAAATTAGCTGTCGGAAAACTGAAGGTGACGGGAAGCGTCTGAAATGGGATAAATGATCAAACTTAATGATTCAATTGCTGCAATATATTGCTGGAAGTATATTCAGGTCCAAAAGCAATTTAAATTAATAGAAGAAAAAACAATTAATTGCTCTTAAGTGTAAAGGAATAAACACATTCTCTGGATCTGAAAGGCCTTTAGGTTCAAAGCACCAGAAGCTGCATAGATACATCAGTAAGCTTGCACTAACACTATATTCTACCTATACAATCACTGCTGCCTGTGATGGTGTGCACAGGTGAATGGCCTTCAATGGCATGAATGGGAGTAGTGGCAAATTCAAAGCTATAATTTCAAGCAGTTTGTTTACAGATGTATGTGAACAATTGGGTTTTGTGTGAGAAGAGATTTGAAAGCAATCTTGAGAGCTGTAACAGCTGGGACCTTTGTTTGCTGTGGTACGTAAAGAAGTATCTTGTGGTATATGTGATACATGGGTAGGATGTTCAGTGTACCTTTTGGAATAACATCTATCACGTGATTGCCTGGGATTTCAGGGGCTGGTTACTGGGACTGAGTTACCATGCTGGTCACCTCAAGAATTATGTTCCTAGTTCTAAAAAATGTGAGAAGTCAGTTTACATGGGGCGGAGTCTGGACTCTCTAATGAATTCTGATGCTGCTAGAATCATGTTTAATCCAAGATTCTGGTTATAGGATGTTTCATGGACAGATCAGAAATGGATTGCAAGTACAGCTGCCCTGTAGCCTTACACCCCAAATTCACAAAGCTTCATGTAACTCATACAGACATCATTTTGAGAGCACACACAACCCTAACCCACATATACACATATACATGTATTTCAGAAGTGGGAGAGGGATTCTCTAGTAGGAATCTGATCAGCAGATACAGCTGAGTGGGACTTTTACAGCAAGATTTCTTTTAAGGCAGGAATTCATAACTCAGTATAAAGCTTTTTGCTGTAATTTAGATGTTGTTGTTTGGGCACTGCTGCTGTAGAATGTCTGCTTATACAAAATTGATTTTCCAGCGCTGTTGGCTGAGTGAGGACCTCTACTAGGCCAAAAGTTTAAATGTTCCATCAGGTTGACAGAGGTAAATGTGAAAGCTTCAGTCCTTGTAGCTTTGGTACAACAACAGGTCACTGCTGAGGTAGTCTCATTTATCATTCAGTCTCCACCTTATAAGTCAAAGGTGTTACAAAGCAGATCAGTGTTCTAAGATTGCTTCCTTCACCACATTTAAAAAAAAAAACCCTCCTTTTGTGCAGATAGAGACTGTATGATCTAAATGTAAGCCTAAGTTTTACTGGTTACTGTGTAATGAAGAATTTGTGTCTGCAGATCAGTTCAAATGGTGTATATTCTTCACACACAGAAGTGTAAAATACAAGACCTGTATCTGAGATATTAAACACTAACAGGATGGTATCCCCAAAGCTTTCTGACCAGCAGCTTAACTTTGCATTCTCACTTAAAAGCATACTTTTAAAAGAGGATGTGCAGAGGGTCTTCTTTATAAAACATACCTGAATTTGGGGTGTTTATTTGGTTTTGATCAATGGCTTTTCAATTGATTTATCACTGTTAGATTCCTGCAAAAGAAGTAAATTTTAATATCCCATTTCACAGATGATTAACTAAGGCATAGAAAACAAGGTCAAGTGAAATTACTACATTCTCTGCTTTTTTCTCTTTTCTAATTAATGTCTGACTAGCTCACAGCCATGGAGGCTAATAATTAAACAATATTATGAATATGGACAACCTTGAGTATTTGTTTTGTCAATTTATCCAGATGGAGAATTGGAACAGGTTCTAATGCTACAAAATGAAGGGCAGAGAGGTATTGTGCCCTCTGTTTCTGATGATCAGCCAAAAAGAAAAGCTGTATCTTTGCGGGTTTAGCCCTGGTTTGCTTCCTGTCATCTGTCTCCAAAACCTGCCAACAGGGCTGCTTTCAAGATTGGCTTTAGACAACTGATCTTGGAGAAAACATCAAATACAGCCACTGCTTTGCATAGCCCTCTTTCCCCAAAGCACCAGTATTATCTGCAGAGTATATTGGTTTCAAATATCCAGCTGCTCCATTTGCCCAAATGGTTACCATAAATAGAGAGGGCTGGGTTCTTCTAAGGATTCTGACCCTGCATGGCAAGAGCAGGTGAGGCTTGTATGCAGCCTTAGCTCAGTTTGAGCAGAAGCTCCCTGCCCATATCAATGTTCCAGACCCTCTAAAGATCAGCCTTTGTATTCAAACTGCTCCTCGGGTCTAGGGCTCCAAAAGATCCAGTGGTGCAGCTGCTTCTTACAGGCTTACACTTGCAGACTAGTAAGGATCACAGTGGAGCCATCATTAGAACTAGTCAGTACTAGAACTTAGGAGTATCTGACTGGGATCTCCACACTCTTGAAACTCACCTGGCCACATCTAATAGATGATCTTCATAATCAACACGATTCTTTACATTTTTAGCCCATTAGCTGGTGCCCAGCAACTTCTTCCATCCATGTCTTACGCTTCCAAGTTCACAGTGTAACATTCAAATCTGCTTTTAATAAGCAGAAATCATTTGTGCTGCTATTTAACACAGTCAACGTTCAGCAGTCATTTTCTGTTATACTGAACGTGGTACTTCACAAAAATGTAGGAATTTGGAGATTACAACTTCAAGGTGTTGAGTGCTCAGTAAAATGTCACTTATGACCATGTAGGACATATTGAACATGTCAGAGGATGACTTAGAATTTGACAGCTAACACTGGGATTTTTAATAACAAGTGTGGCAGCTGTTTTATTGCATGTGTGATTGGAGGGAATAACACAGAGAAGATGGCCATCTCTGCCTCTCCAGGGGTTTGGCATCAAAGAATTAATGAAACAGCAGTGGAAAAGAAAACAAGGAGCTGAAGGAAACCAGTGAGTTAAATTTGTTTTCCAGGTATTCAAGGGAGAGGAGAATATAAGCATTCACATTACAGTAGAAGGCAGAAAGAGTAGAGTGCTATTAGTGAGAGAGATCTTCTCAAAGGTGGATAATCTAGAAACTATAACCAATGACTTGAGGACATGTCTTAAGTTTTAGTGGATGCTGGTAAGGAGATACAGAGAGGTAAGCAGATACCTGTTGATGGATTAAATTCCATGTGACACTTAAGTGATACAGCAGACTTAAAAATCCAGAAATTGGTAGTTATGCCACTAGAATGCTAACAGCACAGTACAGGAACTGAAAATAGACTTTCTGCATAGTTTGTTCAAATCCATCTGGTTTTCTGAGACACTATTTTTATAAGCATCTAGTTTAAAAAATATTTAATATCTTCTAGTTGATTTTTTTTCACAGCTAAAGTTTTCAAGTGACTAATGAATTGGCAGCACTCATATTTGGGTACCTATCTTAAAACCTCTTCAAAAAGCTGCTTTTCTTCGAAGAAACTTTAATTTTTAGAACCAATGAATAGCAGATTTCTTTAGGATATCTCATTCAGGCCAGCATATACGGTGTCTGGAAGGAAGAGAGGAATGCACTATTGAGTTGGCATGTTTTGGTATCTTATCAGCCCTGCAGAAATCAATCCAGATAGCACGTGGAGAGGTGTCAAAAGATGGCTGTAAAGAAAAAGCTATGGTTAAGAAGACTGGACCACAATGGTACGTTTCCTGATGGATTTCTGAATGATTAGAAGCAACTAATCAGGACAAAGCTTACCCTTTTCTTCCCTCCTTTCTTTCTTTTCCCCCCCTAAACAACTGAATTCAGCATTCAGGGCCAGATGACATTCACATGTTTTGGCACAGCTGGTAGAACAGCCTATTTTACTGCAGTGCAAGCAATATGTACTTTCTGGAAAGTACCACATGAGTCTTGCCTTTGTAAACAGAAGAGATCTTCTGCTCCAGAAGCTTTATAGAAAAAGTGATGTTCTATCTTCCTCCAGGAAACTGTTTCTGTTTCAACCACTGCATTTCTCAGTAGTATCTCTATTACATTTCTAGCTAAGTTTACATTAGATGTGTTGCCTCATTACAGTGTTGCCTCAGTTCTGTGGTGGTTTCCACAGCAGTAACCTCAACTTGGCAAACCATTCTTTCCATTAGACTTTGCTGAAGCATTTTTTTCCCTTCGGTTTGAGGTGAAGAGCCCTAACTTTGTACCTGGATAGCTCCAGCAAGTCTGCAATATTAAGAATGTTTCCTCAGCACCTGTGAAGTTTGTTGCTCTGGAGCGAACACACTCTACACTGCCTTAAACCTTGTTGCGTCTTACAGTTTGCCAGAGGTTCAGAAAGACCACAGCATAAACACGCGCAGGGAGAGTCAAACACCAGGGAAGCAGAGACCCAGAAAGGACAGGTAAGGCTACAAATCTGCTTTTGAAGAGCATTATTAACTCAGTGCTCTCTGTGGAAAGCATTTGGCATGCAAATGTCAGGCAGCATTTATTACAGGAGACTAGAGCAGGCCAGTGAGATCTTGCAGCACACTTTAGTGCAATGCAAAGGCACTTTCCTGGAAGGATGTGACTGGAACGAAAGAGTGCAAAAATCTAAATTTTATAGAATTTTCAATTTTTTAATTCATCAAATTATTTTATAAATCTGCTGAATTAAAAAAAAACAACAAACCCAAATGTGTAAATTATGTTAAATTTGTTTTTTTACTGAGAATAAGATCTCAAACTCAGTGGGCTCACATCACTGTATGTTTCAAGCAACACATGTGCATACCACAAAATGGTGACCACAAAATGTTAATTCTATTTTAATGTGTTGTTTTGGTTGCAGCTGCCAGATCAGCTCTTTCATTAAAAGCAAATCTAACCTGTGTGCTGATGTGAAGCAGAGGTTCACAGCAGTCCGTGAAGAGGCAGCTTGCTGTTTACATGATATCCTAGTGAGCCTTGAGAGGTAGGAGGAAACTGGATTTCCTATATTCTTGAAACACTGCATACCTTGCTTCTGACTAGATTTAGGACTTCAGGCCTTTTTAAAGATGCATTTATATGGATTGGCATTAAAATAAGAATATAGGGACGATGTTAGAAAGTTTTATGACCATGTACAAAAAAAAACATTGCAGGTGAAATATTTACAGCAGTGTTTTGGAATATTTCTGAACAGTATTTATGGAAATAGCTTTGCTAAAAACATTGAATATGTTTACTTTGAACATTGCAGTCCTTTACACCAAAGACTGAATAATAACTTCTGTCCACATACAATCTGTATGGCTATCTTGTGTTTTCAGTTCTGAGATCACTGTGTTGTTCAACATTACTTTGACTCTTCTCATAGGAACAGTTATAATGTCCTCTGGCAAAGCCTTTTCCCAGATCAGTGACATTTCTACCTTGTTGACCAGCCAATGCCTGTCATCCTTTTCCTTCCACCCAGAAACATTCATCTGTGATGCTTGTGCAAATTCTTTTGTCTCAGTAAGCACCAGACCTGAGATCCTTCCCTACATTGGTATTCTGAAGAGTGTTGCAGGCACACTCCTCCCCCTCACTTCCTTCTTTCCATTCTTCTGTTTCATTTTGTACTTAAGATATTTTTATTCCCAGAGCACTCCTTATCTGGAGTTGGGTCCTTGTTGTTTTCCCTGAGCAGCTGCTGTGGCTGCATAATCAATCCAGCATCCCACAGTATGGAAGGACAAGTCAGATGGAAACTTACTACTTGCGGCTATTTTGCCATTCTACATACAGCCACCTAAAACTGTTCTGTTTGGTCAGCTTTTGGAAATGAAACCTCAGTTTGGCAGGATAAGTTATTTATTGTATATAAGTTATTTATTGTAAAGAAAAGCAGATGTTTGGGTTTGTTACTTTGTTACTTTTTGTAAGGATTCATACATGAGCCCAATCTCTGGGTCAAAATTCTAGCTCAGGGCATGTCACAGAATCACAGATTGGTTTGGGTTGCAAGGGACCTTAAAGCTCATCCAGCTCCAACCCCTGCCACAGGCAGGGACACCTTCCACTAGAGCAGCTTGCTCCAAGCCCCTGTGTCCAACCCGGCCTTGAGCACTGCCAGGGATGGGGCAGCCACAGCTTCTCTGGGCACCCTGTGCCAGCGCCTCAGCACCCTCACAGGGAAGAGCTTCTGCCTAAGAGCTCATCTCAGTCTCCCCTCTGGCAGGTTAAAGCCATTCCCCTTGGCCTGTCCCTACAGGCCCTTGTCAAAAGCCCTTCTTCAGGTTTCCTGGAGCCCCTTTAGGCACTGGAGCTGCTCGGAGGTCTCCCCTTAAGGAGCCTTCTCTTCTCCAGGCTGACCCAGCCCAGCTCTCTCAGCCTGGCTCCAGAGCAGAGCTGCTCCAGCCCTCAAAGCATCTCCGTGGCTTCCTCGAGACTCACTCAAGCAGGTCTACATTCCTTTTGTGTTGGGGATCCCAGAGGCACTCCACTCTGTTCCACCTCTCTTCTGCTGTATTTTGAATAATATTTTAGCCTACATCACTGTACAGTATTCAGTGTGGTTTTAAGTACTGGATACCTGTAGAAAGTGGAGGTTCAATTTCAGGTCAATGTTTTGATTTTGAAGTTTGTTTCTTACCTACATCCCAGAGCTGATAAAAACCATTAACGCTTTTTAATATGTTTGTAGAAATATGAATGTATACAGAGCACTGCAAAAGCCAGAATTGTTATTAGTGTCCAGACTGGCCATACAACGTGATCTTCACATTCCTGGTTTTCTCCCTTCTTTGTTATCTTCCCAGTTAGCTACGTAGAAGCATGGTAATATTTACAACACAGCTTTAACTTTCAAGAGTTTTTTTTGTAGGAAGCAGGAAGAGCGATGTTACCAAAAATACAGGGCTATGAAACAATCAAAGGATTTCAGAAAAGAATTGGACAGAATAAGACAGCTGAGCATGAGAGCTGAGAGAGAACATGATGAAGATGAACTAAACTGGTAAGGAATCATAGAATGGTTCAGGTTGGAAGAGACCTAAAAGCTCATCCAGTTGCAACCCCCTGCCACGGGCAGGAACACCTTCCACTAGAGCAGGTTGCTCCAAGCCCCATCCAGCCTGGCCTTGAACACTGCCAGGCATGGAGCAACCCTTGTTCAGATGAGATGTTCAGGGTCCCAGATTTCTGCCTTTAGTATAAAAGAGCTTTTATCTTTTCTTTTTTTCCCTCTCTAAAGCAAAGTATCACTAGAAACCATTGAATCTGTTGCTGGAAATGCAGACTTTTCAAACTGGTAGCAGCAAAAATACAGATGTGATGTCTAGGAGCAGATCCTGGCCTGCTCAGCATATAGGTTAATTGGAAATGGTAAGAAAGGGGAGAACAAAGAGTTCTTCTCCAGTGATATCGGGCAAAAGGCACTCGGTGCTTGCATTCACACACCAACTCCAGTGCAGCTTTACAGGAGACTTCCTTCACCAGGATGTATGTAAAATGCACTGTACCCCAAAGATGAGAGATACTGTATAAATGTACATGGGTTAGAGTCAGAACTTCTTACTGAACTGAACATTCACAGTACTAAAGCTGGCGGCAAAGGAACCTGACTCTAGCTGCCCACCCATGATAAAAAACAAAGCATTGCCCTACCAGCATTTGAACTGCACATGGATAATACTGCAACATTTACAAGTGTCCTGGGTTCAGCAGTAGCAGTCATGTTTCTCCTTCTTGGTAGCTGGTGCAGTGCAGTGTTTTGACTTTCAGCCTGGGAACAGAGCTGATAGCGATGTTTTGGTTTGGTCAAGGACTTTGTGAGCCTCCTGCTCTGCCAGGGAGGAGGGGAAGCTGGGAGGAAGCAGAGACAGGACACCTGACCCAAGCTAGCCAAAGAGGTATTCCATACCACAGCACGTCATGCCCAGGATGTAACTGGGAGTTAGCCAGAAGGACTGGTAGACTGTGGGGTTGGAGGAGGTATAGGTCAGGGCTTGGCTGGGCTGGGGGGGCGAGTTGTAGGTCAGCTGGTGCTGAGGTGATGTATTCTCTTCCCTCATTATTTCCTTTATCATTGTTATTATTGGTGGTAGCAGTAGTGATTAGTGTTAAACCTTAGTTACTAAACTGTTCTTATCTCAACCCATGGGAGTTGCATTCTTTTCGATTCTCCTCTCCGTCCCTCCGGTAGTAGGGGGAGGGAAAGAAGGGGGGGAGTGAGTGAACCAGTTACCTGACTGGGTTTAAACCACAACAACAGGGATCACCTAAATGCTTCCCAGTTACAGCAGTTCTGCAGATTACTAGTGTGTTAGGTTTGAAATGATTAGTAGTTTATGTTTGAAAGAATACTCGCTGTATCCAGTGATCAGCTTCCAGATCACACATTAGAAATAGCCTACCTGAATACCTCAACAAACTCACAGCATGTTCCTTATTGCCCTGTCCATGAGAACTCCTTGGGCATGGGATTACTGAATACACAGACTGCACAGAATGGTGTTTTTCAGCCTGCCCTCTTTTGATCTTATCGGCTAGTAAGCTTTCTGTCCTTCACCACAGTTCATTTCTCATCTTGGGTCCAAAATGCAGGTGGCCCAGGACATGTCAAGCACACATCAGTCACGCATTAATCAATAAACCTAGTCTTGGCCTATCTAGCAGAACACTGGTTTTAATTGTCAAACATCTGTGCTCCAGCTGTCCCCTGAATTTAAGATCTGGCATGTAAATAAGTCTTGAAACTGGAGTGGATGTGGTTTTACTTTTATACTTGTAGTGTCACTGGAAGCCTTAATTTGGACAAAACTCCATGAGCATAAAGGAGACTATACCAGTATGGCTTTTTACTGTTCTCCCTATGCAAGAATAGTGCTGTGAGTGTGCTGTTCCTTCACTGAAAATCGTGCCTCCACCCTGAGGAGACTGTCTTGCTTTGACTGTGCCAGAACAGTTACCTGAAGACAGCTCTCCACATCAGGTCTGTTCTGCAGCATGCTGTCCATGAGGGGTATGGGGTGTGAGATCTCTAAAAAGGCTGGTCAACCCCCTTGTGGAGACACAAAGTAATGCCAGAGGACCATACCACTTGCTTCATGAGCAGCAGGGCTGTTCTTTTCCGCACTCTTGCAAACACTGCCTTGCCAAGAGAACAGGAACACTTTACTAGTTTATTCTGCCAGTCTGGTTGTCTCTCTCATGAAGTAAGAAAAGCCCAAAATAATACCAAATATGAACAGTGTGATGTGAGAGTGCACTGAGCATGGCTTCCTTTCTCAATGCATGGATGGGTCATAAAAGGCCTGTGTGTGGCATAGTTATGGTAACCCAGGTAATCCAGGTAGTGATAATAAAGAGTTGGCTCTACAGCTATCAGCAGCATACTACTGAGTGTAGAGCTGGCCCTACTGAAGATAGAACCTGTGTGTTTCCTTTTTTTACTGGTTTAAGGAAGAAATGCCTCATCCCTCTCCTGCTGTCCCTGCTGCCCAGTGACATGTATCCTAAACTGGAGGGAGGCAGCACTTGTGCTGCCAAATCGTCAGCCCTTTCCAGTGAAAACTACAGCACACCCCGGTCATGCACATTCTAGAAAGGTTTGGAACGCTGATCTCCAAGACTGTCAAAGCATCACTGCAGAATTTACACAAAACACTAAAAGAAAAGGCAGTGTTTTCACAAGAGTTTTATTTTTATTGTAATGTGTAATTCTCCTGAATCTTTATATTCAGAGTGAAACGATAAAGACTGCATGTTACAGTGCACTTACATCAATGAGATTTATGTTAGCACACAGAGAAAGGAGAATGATGATAGCACAGGGAAAAGCGATAGTAAAGACAATCAGAAAGTGTGCCAGATCAGGCATTGAGTGCGCTGGAAAACCCCTGGAGATTAAACAAAATAAATAGAGAAAAGATGAGAGGACAAATGGAAACATTTGTTAGGATTTTATTATTTCCTTTCACACCCAAGTTTGTCATCCAAATTTAAATGGACAATGAGAAAGCATCTATTTCAGTGCCCTGCAAAGGGAATTGGTGTAGAAATCCAATAAAGTAAAGCTCTTTCACGTTATTCGCATTAAAGGTCCCATCCAACCCGGACTGAGCATTGCATTCCCCAAAGAGCCATTTTTCCTGTGGAAGTTATGGAGGTGATGAAGTGGCAGAAATGCAAGATAAAACCTAGAGTTTCTAATCAGATGTGCAGTTGTTCCCATGGTTTCTCTTTTATTGCTGTTCTTTCTGCTAAAGGGCTCCTGTATTGCTTGCCAGACTCCCAGAGTCTGTGAAGAATGACCATTATATCCAGAAAATCTTAAAGAAATTGGAAAAATACAGCAAGAATCCTGACTTGAAAATCGATCCAGAGACCTTTCTTAAGGTTCTGGATGATCTGCGTGTGTGGGAGCTGTGTTCTCCAGAAATTGCTGCAGCTGTGGAGGTGAGATGAGTCCAGATCTTGAGTCTCTGTGTGAGGAGGGTGGGGAGAGCAGGTACCTGTGGATGAAACTCATAGAGTAGAAAGTTACCAGATTAAATCATTTAGGATCTCACTAAATGAAGGTGCTACTATTCACCTCTTACAAGTCACTTTGAACTGCTCAGAAGAAAGATGTTATGACAAGCATTGGATTATTAATCAGTATCATTATGTCATTGTTTTATTCACCACTGCAGTAAAACTGGCATCTGTCATAAATTGTTAGGACGCTTGACAAGAAACATTAACTTGTTGAGTTCTGAGAAGGCCTGTCATTCCCAGTGGTTACATCCATGAGCTATCCAAGTAATACGTTATGTCAGTGATCCAGGAGCTCTGCAGATCATTGTTTTGCTTCAGGAACATTACAAAGAAAATAAATCTGCTTCTCAAGAGCTTACGTTGGGCTCAATTCCTGTAGCTCTAGAAGTAAATGGTAGAAGAGGAAGGATACAAGAAAGGGAAGAGAATGCATGTAGAATGTTTGTAATATGTAGTCCAACCAGGTAATTCAGGTACAAAAAATGGCAATGATGCCACCTTGTGGTTTTTGTTCTCATCACGGTTATTTCCCCTCATCTACCGGACCAACAGAAATCTCTGAGAGGCAGGGGATTATTGTGCATCTTATATATATTGTGCCATACAAAGGCAAAAGTATTTTGCCTTTGATCACACTCTCTGTATTTTCTTGATGTTTGTAAAAATAACTATTTTGTCATGTGCACTAATCTGCACAACCAGGGAGGCAGCCTTGCCTTAATGTTCAATAGGCAGGTCTTTGCTGCTGGCTGGTTTTAGATCTATTTCTTTGCTTCTTCTATTCCTTTTGCATTTTGATCCCTAATGTTAGTGTAATAGTAATAGAGAAAACCACATTAGCTGAATCCCCTGCCTATTTATTTATACATCTTTTGAAAATAGCCCCAGAGGAAGGAGGACCTTGGTGCTCCTTCTGACTGGAATAAATAAACTGTCGCATTTTAGGAGCAAGAGCAGCATCACTGATTGCGGGCTGACAGAGATTCTAGATGAAGTTCTCATTTAACTTCAAGTTGCTTTAATGTATGTACTGCAGGGGTATGTAGAACACAGCTGCAAGCTTAAAACAAAAGACTTGGAAAGATTCAGGATATAAATTGCACTGAAGATTGTAGAGTTTTCCTTTTATTTCATTTTAGAGTATATCCATCTCTTCAGGAAGTTACACTAAAAATATTTGGTGATACAAAGTGCTGTACTAACTGCAGAAGCCATTACATTTATTCTGTTGTTACAATGTCACATTTTCCCACATATTATCTCTCTCTTACATGTAAATCAAAACCTCAGGGAAAAAAAACCTTTTTCTGTTTCAGTTTGTACGTGAGAGCATTGTGCGGATGCCAGAAGAGGATTTCAGCAAGTGGTTTCAGACAAAAGTAGGCCCCCTCAGCGCTAGAATTCCTTTGCTTTCTAATTCCTCGGTGGATTAGAAGTCCTCCACCTTCTAATCAGACAACCAGATGAGATGGTTTTCCAGCTACAGCTGTCTTCAAGCAGAAAACTATAGCCTGTTGAGATCTGCCTCGAGGAAGACCAGGAAGGGAAGGTAACTTCAGGAAGTCCCACTGATCACTCTTGCACAGCTGAAATTTGTCCCTCTAGTGTGCTCTGTTGGCTGTAGTCAGACAAAGAAAATAAAAGCTAAATACTCTTGCTCCCTCCTGTATGATGTCTTGGACACACCATTGCATTTCAGTCTCATCTAACCATGCAGGATGAAGGCTGAATTTCTAATCACAGGTCATGTCATTTCTTCAGATATTCCTCCAGCACGTACTCAGTTGGGATATACTGATTTCCACATCTGAACAGCATTGTCTTTGTTTTCATTTTATCACTCCTTTATAAAAAATATTCCAAGCACAGGGTAGTTGTAAGCTTTAAGTCTTTTTTTACATTCTTTTATGCAATTCAGATGTTTTATTTTTGCACTGAGTTTATTCTGTAATTATTCTGTGATTATGGATAAATTCTTGCATTATTAAATTCAGTATTTCAAAACCAACCATCTTTAGGTGCATGTCCCAGTTTTCACCAGAAGATATGTTCTCCCTTGGTTACCTTAGCATATGCTTGTCATTACTCTGGTGGGTAAGACATCAGAATGACACCCCTGAAATCACAGACACATACATGACCTACATGAACCTGTCTGGGCTTAGCCGTGTATTTCATGCTGGGTCTAATTGGTGGGTGATGAAATTGGTGACCCAGAGACCTTCTAAGCTGATGATCTTAATGAGCTGCTTACCTGCCTGTCAAGCTTCCAGGCGACCCATGGGGAGAAATGCTGTTGATCCTTCAGTGCAACAACGACAGCTTACAGTCTAGCTGAGTACAGTGACCACTTGTATAGTATGTTATTGATTAAAGGCCTTATTTTGTCCCTTCCACATTTCCAAGTAAGAAATGTTTTTCAAGGAAAAGAGCCAGGAACACAGATTCCTTTGACTTACCATCAGAGAAGAGTAAGCTCCTAAAGTTTTGTTGTGCTTCCACTTTTCTCATTCTACATGTGGAGGTGATAAGCTAGCATTTGTACACGTAGCAAAGCCATATGTTCCCCTGGTCTGTGCTTTTCTTTCGCTCCATCTCAGTATCCAGTGGCAAACTTCCCTCCAAAACTCTGTAGGACTGATCTCATGCCCTGTGAAATCAGTGGCAGTGCTGCTGCCAGATGAGCAGGGTGAGTCCTTACTCTGATCTGTGAGACCTCAACTCCACTGTTCACTATATTCTGCCATTTCTTTTAACCTCCTTGCAGGCCTCCATGGATTTTGAGAAATCCCAATTCTGCTGTTCTTTAGGGATCACTTCACCATGATCTGAGTCAAGTTTCATTGACAGTACTCTTGTGTTACCCTGTGGCAAACAAACAGCCATCTTAATATAGCACCTTGGGAGCTCCTCATTGAACTGTGGTTACACAAGGTAAAACTTCATCTTGGTCCTTCCTCACCATGTGGAACTGCAGATAACAAGGTGAGTTTTCCTTACATTAAGAAATGGAAACAAAGGTGCTTGTCCTCAGCTGGAGTACTTGAACCATGCTGCTAAAATCAAAACTTCACACCAGCCAAGCACAGGACCTAATTTGTCTGCCTGCATGCAAGATAAGATGATTGCGTCAAACATAGCCAATGTCTGAGCAGCTGTTTGAGCTCCCAAAGCAGGATGCCCATGCTGAATGTTAGGAGTCTCTAATGTTTTTGTAGGATTATGAAATACCTATGTTTTCATTTGACAATAACTCCCCTCTCTCTAAAATTGCCACCAGGTAACAAAAGAGACTCTTCCTCTAAAAAGAAAAGAGATCATCTTTTCTCCTCCTCCAGCACCACTTTAATGAAAAACTTTCTGCTTCTTTTACTTTGAGGTGGAGAAGAGCTCCTCTGGAGCAAAATAGCTGCTTCTCTTTTCCTGCTTCCTGACAAACTTACAGTGCCCTCAGGTAAGATCCTCAACCTTAATCAAGTGTTTGTCTGCCAATGCAAAGGACTGAAACGATAGGAAGAGGTTAGAGGTCCATACCTAAATAAAAGGGGCTTTTAAAACTTTGGGATTTTTTTCCCTGCAGATATACTGGATTTTTCCAAATACTTCTGTGAACAGTCTCACAATTTCCAGCTCACTGCTTCAGCAGTCCCTTGCAAGTAACCCATTGGAGACGGATGCACCAAGAGTCCAAGCAATTCGTTAAAGGTCAACAGAGCATGTGGTAGACCTGCTTGGATTACTGTTCTGTCTGTTCATCCTTCCTGCCTTTCTGTTCTTGTCCTTTATAATTTCAGCCAATGGGCCAGTCATTCACAATTTCCATTAGGCAAAACAAACCATGCAAGCTTGGGTTCATCACTTGCTTCATGCACTGGAGAGGTGTGGGTGGGACTCAGACACTGAACCCAAGAATCTTGATCCCGTTTCCTGCTGCCTGATGTATTGCGAGTGTCATCCAAACCCCACCCTCCTCAGTTTACACCTCTGTGGAACTGAAATAAGAACATTTTCCTGGGTGTCACTAGTAGCAGGGCAGAAAGTTATTGTTGCATGAGAATTGCTTTGGGTATTAGGCTGACAAGCATTACAGGAGAACTCATTAATTAAAATAGCAAGCATTACCTCTTTGACCATTCACCCTTTCCTTCTGTTTCACAATGGTTCTGAAATTGTCATCTTTACTCTCTTTTCATAGGAAAGATTTCGCCATGGTAGAAAAGAAGCCAACCATCCTATTCTAACATCAACAATACTCCCACTGTGGTTTATATTAGACATAAAAAGGAACAAGTTATAAATAGGGATTATAAAATAAACAACTCTGTCTTGCAGATAGGCTGTTCTATTGTAAATAAGCATCACAGTCATTGTGGGGGTATTCAGAAATCAGGGTGCATCTTTCTAATTGGAATTTCAGCTTTATATATCATCACTCTCTTCTGCTGTCTTGTATATTAATAACACCATGCCAGTGTGTTAGAGATGCAACTATATTTAGCCTCACACAATAACAGCAGCAATTATTTTTGCTAAATTTTAATAAAGATCACTATTGTAGCACTGCAGAAAATAAAAACTCAGATTAACAAACCCCAGGATATTTGGGACTAGATGCAGCTCCTCCTATTAGGGTCAACGGAAAGGTTCTTATTTACCATGTTGAGCATTAATTACTGTAAAATCAGAATAGGTTGTTGCGACAAGTGCAATGGCTAATGTAACCAGCAGCTTGAGCTTTTATTCAAGGCACTGAGTGTTTGTAGCCGTACTTTTTGTAATGCAGCAAGCCTATGCAAAGCCAAATTAAAGTATACTTTCTCAGTTGGAAAGCTGACCAAGCACCAAAAGAAAGTGGTCAAAGGAAAGGAAAAAAATGGGACAGAAAGAATGCAACTGGGAAGAATTCTCAGATACCCAAACCTTAATTCTCTGTCTCTGGTGAGATTTCTTCTCCCGTCAAAGATGGGATGTAGATGCATTTTGGTCTACCTTATGGTTGTGTTTTATGACAAAATTTGAGAATGAGGGAAAAGTTGAGACCGTTTGGTGGCAGTCCAACATACCAGTGTCACTGTAGCACATTTGAAGTTGTATTTATCTATTCATTAGGGTAACAGGAAGCAGAAAGGATGATCATTCAGGAGCCCTTTCAACAGAGAGAAGCTAGGAACACTCTTTTGCTGCTATGCCAGAAGGACAGGGACAGGGCAATACTCATCCCCTTGAAAAAGCCACTAAGTCCCATGTTTTGAGGATACTACCACAGCTGACTGTGACTCTCTTCTTCTTTGTGGTAAGTGGCCATTTCCACCCTAAAGTGCTATCTTACGGAATAAAAGGCAGATGCTATGTTATTCTGCAGTCAAGAAGGGAAATAAAGGGTGTATTCCACTGGAAAGAAAAGAACTTGCTCTTGCACAGAGCAGAGCAACCTCAAAACTAACTCTTTCTCCAAAGGAGCTGGCATGCCACAGCTACACAAATCTGCTGGCTTTAGACTGATCATTGCATCAGCCCCACACATTGACAATCTTCTCAGTGGTGTCAGTCCTGATTAGCAGTGTCAGTTTTCAAGATTCTGATTTCCTATTGTTGACCTAGATTTCTGCAGTGCACTTCACAGGGGCAAGATTAGACCCTAAAGTAGTGAAAGGTTGAAAGAGAAAGCCTTGTCTCTTTATTGACATGGCTTTCCTTCTTCATTCCTGGCAAATGGCTGTCTCTTTTCTATGTGATTCATACAGATTTTTTTTAGGGTGGCTATATTTTAGTACATTACACTATAAATTACACCTAACTATATATGATGGACTTAGTCAATGTGCTATAAATTGCAGTGGATTTTTAAAGGAACCCATCATGGTTGACAGCTGGAGCATCCAATTTCTTTCTAGTGCCAGATTACTATAAGAGCCATCAAAACATTGTCTTGCACACATAGTTTATTAGAACATTTCTGAGGATATTCTAATGAATACTTGCCTTTAAGAGGCTGTTTCCTACCTGGTTCTTTAAACCATGTTTACAAAGTATGGCAGCTTGCAGCTATGGGAAATACGTATTGTCTATAATGAAAACTTCACACAGAAAGTGTGGAGGGAAGATTACAATGTTCAACTGTTCCCATTTGTTATAGGAGAAAAGGAAGAACCGTGACCCGTATAATCTAAGTGGCCGAGATAAAAATGACAAAAAAGCAAGCTTTGACTCTTGGAGGGGAAAACAGACTTGCTTATGCAGGCTTGTGAAAAGAATCCAGGACATAAGCAAGGACTGAATATTGTTCAGCTCTTTTAAAAGCCCTCTCCAAATTCCACAAGAGAATGACCAGGTTTTCTCATGCATGAAGTGTGAAAAGAAAACACTGGAAATACTAAACAAAACTCTCAGTATAGAAACTGTGCAGGGATGAACAATGGGCAATCGGACTCCTTGGTCATAAGCAAGGAACATTAGCTAGGTAATCTTTCTCTGCAGCTACAGCCCCCTCTATAGCTAAAGGGGACAAGAAGCCCCTCCACAGAAATCCAGGCTCACCTATGCCCACACAAGTCCGTGTAAGTACTCTGGATTCTCCTCAATTCTCTTGCTGTTAGCTACAGAGGCTCCTAAGAGAAATCACACAGCTAAAGGTGTATGCTTAAAGCTCAGTTCTCCGAGTAGCCCTCC